ATGGCCTGTCCTTCTAAGGAGTCCCTCATTCAGCTGGGAGGATGATGATAGTTCCTGAGCAGGGCCCAGTCTGGTAGGGGGCACTGGAATAGTACAGGAAAACAGGTCTAAGACACAGGCGGCAAACACAAGCCTGCAGGCCAAATCTGGCCCGGCACCTTGTTTCTACCCAGAGGCAGCACTGAGCTCCTTGCCCCTAGTTGAGGAGTAGTTACATTTATGCAGTCCTAAAATTACATTTGGCCCTTTGAAGGCAACCGTGAGGCTGATGTGGACCCCAGTGAAAATCAGTTTGACACCCCTGGTCTAAGAGAAGAGACCATCTGTTCATTTCAAGTAAACCTTGATTGGCTGGCATGTGAGCCAGAGCTGCCCGCTGGTTGCATGTTCCTTGATGGCCTTTAACAGACATATACAAGTAAACAATCCACCAGTTACTTATGACCACAAGTGGCAATCCCAGGAGGGGAGGTCACCTAATCAAATATTCAAGGAGGAACACAACAGAATCTCTGGAGCTTAGGCAAAATGAGGTTTTGCTGAAATATAGCCAGGAAGAGGGAAGGTCTAAATAGAAGCCGCTGAGCTTGTTCCTCATCCCCTGCTTTTGTTTCCTGAAATATGTTTACATTTCAATCATGTTGCCAAGTGTCTGCTGCTGGACCTATTAAATGACTTGCACTGGTTCTCATACATCTATTTTTCTACCCAAAGCTCCTATGGAACACCTTAAAGTCTCACAATGCTTTGCAATTACCTGTGTCTCTTCACCACTTAGATCAGGTCTAAACATGTTATTTGCAGGAAGACGTTATCAAACAAACGGCTGCAGTCATTTCCTTCTTTTTCCTTGTCTCCATGTGACAGCACACACCTAGAAGCCATCCTACCCTGTAGCCAGCTTTACAACCTGCAATCTGGGAGGTGGGGGAAGCTAGCTTCAGACCTGGAGTCCTCAGAGTCCTGTCCTGAGCCTGGACTCCTCTCACTCTCTCCCTGGGTGATGAGCTCATGCACCCCACAGCTGCCACTAAAACAGTGAGTCCCACAGTGCCATCTCCTGCCCCTGGCCCTCCTGAGTTGTGGGTCAGAAAGTCTAAGTGTATCTGGACACATTCATGTGCATGTCCCTGGCCACCTCAAACTCAGCAAGGGCAAATGAAACTTGTGTTTTTGCCTGTGTCAGTGAAACCTCCACCTACTGGAAACTACCCCAAGCCAGAGAGCGGGGAGCCAGTGGTGTGCTGGTAAGCATTTAGCAACTGGTTCTCTGGGTGGGCAGAGGGGAGAATAAAGCCCTGATTTGTAGTGTTTGACAATTTCCATGGTACAAAAACTCTCACTATAGCCAATTTCAAGCTACCAATATGAAGTTGCTAAATGCCAGGTTGGGAAGAGATGAATGGAACTGATCTTGTCAGCTGGTAGGAACCAGCTCCAGCACACTACAACATACCAGGATCCAGGTATCTCTGCTGCCAATCACTTCACCTGACATGCCAGTCTTCCCACTGTTTTCTGAGCACGCAAGTGGGGAAACATCCTGGGCTCATCCCCTTCCTCATGCCCTCACAAAAGACCCTGCCCCCCCGAGCTTCTCTCCATCTGCTCTGCTACATGCCACCCCCACAGGAGCCTCCCACCTGATCTCCTCACATCCCCTCACATCCTTGCCCAACCATCCTCCACAAAGCTGCCCATGTTTATAACAGGAACCTGAGCATGTTCTTCTCTGCCCCAGAAATCTGTATCTTAGATATCTACCCAAGAGAAATGAAAACTTATGTATATGCCAAAACGTGTTCATGGACGTTCACAGCAGCATTATTCACAAGAGCCAAAGAGCGGAAATAATCCAAATGTCCATCAACCAATGAATGAATGAATAGATAAAATGTAGTAGATCCACAATACAGAATGTTATTCAGCCTGACATGCTGGCCTCCTCACTGTTTTATGAGCATACTCAGCTTATTTCTACCTCAGGGACTAAGTACTCTGCTAGCATGTTTGGGCCCCCAGATGCTTCCTGACTGGCTGCTTCTCATGTGACCTCCTTATATGTCTTCTCCAACTACTCTTAATTTCCTATCACTTTAGTCACTCCTTACTCTGCTTTGTTTCTTCAAAACACTTACCACCAGCTGAAATCACATTCTTTTTTAAAAATAATCTATTTCTCTTTTAGAAAGCCAGCTTGCCAATAGACTCAGAATAGCCAACACAATATTGGAGAACAAAGTCAAAGGACTGATGCTTCATATAGATTTACCACACAGCTACAATGATCCAGATAGTGTGGTACTGGTGAAAGAATAAACTATAAATCAATGGAACAGAATACAGAGCCTACACATATATAGTAACTTGATTTTTGCAAAGAAGCAAATAAAATTCAATGGATAAAGGAGAGTCTTTGTAATAAATGGTGCTGGAACAACTGGACATCCACATGCAAAAAACCTTAAAATGGATCATAGATCTAAATATAACAAACAAAACTGTAAGACTCCTAGAAGACAAAAGAAGAAAATCTAGGTAACCTTGGGTTTGATGGTGATTTCCTGGATACGACACCCCCCAAAATTGATTAATTTGACTGCATTAGAATTAATCCTTTCTGCCCTACAAAGGACACTGTTAAGAGAATGAAAAGACAAGCCACAGACTAGGAGAAAGCCTTTGTAAAACATAGATCTGATAAAGGACTCATATCTAAAATATACTAGGAGCCCTGGCTGGTGTGGTTCACTTGGTTGGGCATTGTCCTGCAAACTGAAAGGTCACAGGTTCAATTCCCAGGCAGAGCATGTGCCTGGGTTGTGGGTTCAGTCCCCTGGTCGGGGTGTGTTCGGAAGGCAACCAATCGATGTTTCTCTCCCTTTCTTCATCCCTCCCATTCCCTCTCTCCAAAATTAATAAGCATGTCCTCAGGTGAATATTAAAAAATAAATAAAATATACAAAGAACTATTAAAACTCAACAGACAATAGCCCCATTAAAAAATGGGTTGAACAGACACTCCACCAAAAAAGATATGCAGATGGCAAAAAAAGCATATGAAAATATATTCAACTTTATACCTCATCCAGAAACTGCAAATCAACAAACCAATGAGATACCACTACACACCCAGTTAGAATGGTGAAAATCCAAAACACTGAGAAATGCTGGTGAGGATGTGGAGCAATAGGAACTCTCATTCATTGATGATGGGAATATAAAATGGTACAGCCACTTTGGAAGACAGTTTGGCGGTTTTTTACAAAACAAACATACTCTTACCATATGATCTAGCAATCATGCTTCTTGGTAAATACCCACAGGGGTTGAAAACTTAGATCCACAAGAATGTTTATGGAAGCTTTATTCATAACTTCCAAAACTAGGAAGCCACCAAGATGTCCTTCAATAGGTAAACAGATAAATAAACTGTAGTACATCTACATAATGGAATACTACTCAGTGCTAAAAAGAAATGAGCTATTAAGAAATGGGCCCTGGCAGGGTAGTTCAGTTGGTTAGAGCATTATCTCAATACATCAAGATTGCAGGTTCGATCCCCAGCACATACAAGAAGCAACCAATAGATGTTTCTCTCTCTCGCTCAAATCAATTTTAAGAAATGTCTTTGAAAGAAATAAAAAGACATAGAGGAATGTTAAATGCACACATATTACTTAGTGAAAGAAAATCAGGTTCAAGAGAGCAGAGATTCTGATTTGTTCACCGCTGTATCCCCAGTCTGGTCTAGCCAAAGCTAACCTTCAATAAATATTTGGTGAATTAATAAATGAATTAATAAATGTGCAAGACAAAATCTTTTTTGTCATACCTGACACTGCTCTTTCTTTTACTCCAACATCTAATTCATTAACATTTTCTTTCAGTTTTAGCTTTTTAAATTGATTTTTATTTTTTATCGATTTTAGAGAGACAGAGAAAATTGTCATTCCATTTATTTATGCATTCACTGATTGATTCTTAATTAATTTTTTTTGAGAGAGAAACATTGACTTGTTCCACACATTTATGCATTCATTGGTTGAGTCTAGCATGTGCTCTGACTGGGGATCAAACCCACAACCTTGGCGTACCAGGATGATGCTCTAACCAACTGAGTTACCCACCCAGGGCTTTCTAGCTTCTTAAATATATCCAGAATCTGACCACTTTTCATCACCTCCATAGATCCACCAGGGGCCAAGTCAGAGTTATCTTGCACCAAGATTATTCCAATTGCCTCCTTACTGGTTTCCCAGTTTCCACTCCTGCCCTAACAGTCAGTCTATTCTCTACATGGCAGCCAGAGGGAGTCTTTTAATACTTTAGTCCAGAGGACTGCAAATTTCTATGAAAGTCCAGATAGTAAATCTTTCAGCTCCGTGCCCATTTAGTACCAGTTGCAACAATTCAGCTCTGCAGAGGCATCCACATGTGTTCCAACACAAATTCATTAACATTAGTCCGCACCCTGCTACAGTCACTTCACATCACTCCTTTATTCCAAAACTTTTCATGGGTAATTAACACCCAAATTCCCATCACCTGTCTGACTGTATCTCATACTATTCCCTTCTATGCTGCTCCAGCACAGTCATCCTTCCAGGCCCTTGCAGCTGTTGTTTCCCTGTCTGAAACATAGTTCTCCCTACCTGGGTAGTTCTCCCTACCTACTTGTCACCTCTTCCACGAAGGAGGGGCCCTGACCCTCTTCGGATCTAAATAGGCTACCTGTCACTCTCTTCCTATTTTTTCCCCATAGCACTTAGCATCCACTGACTACTGTATATTCCTGAGTTTACAATCTATCTCCTGCTCTAGAGAGTGTCAGCTCACTGCTCTGTGCCCAGCAATTAGCCCCATGCCAGGCACATGAGAGATGCGCAACCAGTACGTGGAACAAATGCACCAAGAGCAGGCACTGGGTCTTGGGGTAGAAATGGGTGAAGAAGGCCCCAGGGCACTGTTTGGACTCACTGGGCCAGGGGCTTCCTCACCTAGCTGGCCCCCGACCAGCTTCCTCTTCGTGGCTCTCCTCACCCTGCTGCTGCTCCTTGCTGTCTCCCAAAGGCTGTGGCTCCTGGTCCTTGCACTCTGCGTGGGGTATGTCCACCTGTGAGCACAGTCAGCACTTGAGTAGCTGAAGGAGGGAGGTGGCAAGTGGTGGTGAGCCCTTCCTCCTGCCCCTTTGGCCCTGGGCATCTGCTTGCAACGTGGTGGGGACCCACAGAAGAGATGGGAGGAGCTGGGGCGCACACCATGAGGTCCGGGGCTTGAGGTGGGGGAACCCTGCGCCTGGAGGACAGAGGCAGGGAAACCTGGAGGGGCTGGGGTGAGGGCAGGGGCTTCAGGGTGTCTGGACTCCTAATTGGTTGGGTCGAGTTCTTCGAGGAAGGACAAGAGGGAAGATAAAAAGGGTAGGTGCGGCACATGGGTGTCTGAGCCGCTCTTTAAACTGCTTCTGCCACACAGGTATGACTTTCTGGCTTCGCTGTCAGCGCGTCAGTCACATCGTCCATCAGTCAGGGCCTGGTCAGTCAGTCAGGAAATCGGAGTCCGGCAGGACGAAGGTGACCGGGATGTCAGAAGACAAGTGGCCGGACTCAGGTCCGAAGTAGAAGCCCGAGATCGCCGCCGCTCCCTGCCTGTCCGCCCACCGCCCGCGCGAAGGAAACAAGCGTCGCGTACTGCCTGTCGCTCCATCTTGTCTTTTCCCGCCTGTCCTCTAAGCCTTCTGCGCACGCGCCGGCCCCGCCCCAGGCCCCTTGGATTCGCAGCGCTCCTCTATCGCGGTTTCTCTCTGGGAATGTGCGCGCGCACGTTAACGGCCCCGCGCACTGTTGACGACGGTTGAGCCGTTGGGCGATTTCCGGGCTGCGCGCGCAGCGGGAGCTACTGTGAACGGGCGGGGGGGGTGGAGTCTGCGCGCGCACGCGTACTTCTGAGGTTGCGGGCCGACGTGAATAGCGGAAATCGAGTGGACCCTTCGTTCATTCATTACGTTTCAGTTCATCTACTCTACCCAAAGGCATCTTTTCAAGAAATTGACCCCCCTGACGGGCGTAGCTCAGTGGATTGAGCGCGGGCTGGGAACCAAAGTGTCCCAGGTTCGATTCCCAGCCAGGGTACATTCCTGGGTTGCAGGCCATAACCCCCAGCAACCGCACATTGATGTTTCTCTCTCTCTCTCTCCCCTCCCTTCCCTCCCTAAAAATAAATAAATAAAATCTTGAAAAAAAAAAAGAAAAGACTTTATTTAAAAAAAAAAAAAAGAAATTGACCCTTGTTCCCTGATTTAGATTTACCGCCTCCAGTGCAAGTTTATGCAGTCACCTCCTTGAATCAGGTACCTGTGCGCTTGAGAGCATGAAGCTCCTCAAAAGCATGGTGGGTCTGGCCCTTAGAGTTGTACCCATTTCCTTTGATAATAATAATAACAATAACGCCTGAATCGTAACAATATTATTGTTGGCACACGAGGAGCCACAGACTGGGAGAAAATATTTGCAAAATATAAATCTAAGAACTTGTACTAGCATCTAAAAAGAACTCTTGCAACTCAATAAAACAAACCCAAATAAAAAACCTGGGCAAAAGATTTGAATACGTGTGTGCAAATGCCCTGAGGTGGAAGCAAGCTCAGTGAGATTGCAGAGCAGTCATAAGGCCTGTTGAAGGGAAACAGCAAGGATTATGGGAGGCTGTGGTTGGGTAGAGGCAGGGTTAGGGGGAAAGGTAAAGGGTTGGAATTTTATCTCAATTCATCGGGCAAAAGGTGTAGTTTTCTCTGGGACACATGCCAGTGTCCATGTGAAGGAGGCAGTGGGAAGCTGTTCACATTGCTCAGCCCTTGTGGGAGTCTCTGTCCTAGGCCACACACACCTAGAACACACATCTGACACCTACATTCTGGAAAACATGGATTTGAATCTGAGTTCTATCTCTTACCCACAACAATGATCATAAAACTGCCACTCACCTGAAAACCTATTGTCTTCTACTACCAAGGTTAATAAAACCTAAAACACCTGGGTATTAGACCCTGGCCAAGTAGCTCAGTTGGTTAGAGGATCATCCTGATACCCCAAGGTTGTGGGTTCGACCCCAGGTCAGGGAACACACTAATGAATGCATAAATAAGTAGAACAATAAATTGATGCTTCCTTCTCCCTAAGATCAATTTTTAAAAAATAAATAAAACATCCAGCTATTGTAAGGGTTACAGGGATGAAACATCTGGAACATACCAAGAGTTTAATAAACAGTAGCTGACATTAGTATTTTGTGGTAAAGCCATGAGTTAAAATACATCTTCCCTCATCATCAGACTTGAACAGTGGAGGATTAATCTACCAAGGAAAATCTCAAAGGCTTACTGTTAAGCATGCACACACAAACACAAGCACATGGAACCCAAACCAAAGCAACACACAAGATGCAGGATGATTTTTTAAAATTTATTTTTCATTTAATTTTTTTGGAAAAATTTATTTATTTTTAGAGAGGGGAATGGAGGGAGAAAAGAGAGGGAGAAACATCGATGTGCGGGTGCCTCTCACATGCCCTCCACTGGGGACATGGCCCGCAACCCAGGCATGTGGCCAGACTGGGAATCAACTAGCAACCCTTTGGTTCACAGGCCAGCACTCAATCCACTGAGCCACACCAGCCAGGGCAGGATGATTTTTATGGTGCATCATTTGTATAATTTTTAAAAACATGCAGAAATGAAACCATGTCTTGGAAAGTAATACATAAAAATAGGAAAAAGATTCAAACATGAGAATGGTAAACACCCAATTTCAGGAGGGAGCAATAACCTCAGCAGGGTGGGGATGAAAGGAACTAGGACAAGCCCATAGGGTCTTCAAACCCATTGGTCACATAGGTCCAAAGCAAATACTATAGTCAATGATCAGATTTGATCCAAGCAAGGGTGGGGTGGAGTGATTCTTCGTTGTTGTTAAATTATGGTTTATATTATACATGTTCTTCACCCTCAGCTATTTTTCAGTAAGGCCTTTACCTTTCTCCACTTCTGTATTTACTTATCACATCTCCAGAGCACCTTCCCCTCATGTCAGCTCCCAAGGACAGGGACCTGAGTCTACTTTGCCCACTACCAAGGCTTCAGCTCATGAACAGTGCTGGAACTTAGGAAGTATGCATTTACTCCACAAATCAGTATTTTTCTGTATGGCTGAATTATTTAATATGAAATAGAGAAAAAGATTTAACTGAGGAGCTATCAGGAGCTTGGTACCCACAGGGTCCTGGGACCAGTGATGCCCACAGCCTCAAGTGACCCCTAACTTCACTGGGTGCACCAGTGGCCTTGTGATTGCCCAAGAAACTCTGTATTTTCAAAAGTGCACTGCCCCTAAAGATGTGAGGTGAGCAACATGGCAGCTGGGATTTGCTTTAAACACTGTACGATGGGAGCAAAGGTACAAAACTGTATCTTCTCTCTATTCTGGGCTTATGAGATTTTTAAAGCAGTTTTGGGGAGGCTAGAGGGATGAACAGGTGGAGCACAGACGACCTGGGTAGTCAGGGTAGTAAAAATACTGTGTGTGATACCGTAATAGTGGATACATGTCATCATCCCTTTGTCCAAACCCACAGAAGGTACAACAGAGTGAACCATTCATTGTTCATGTGCCAATACAGGTTCATCAGTTGTAACAACAGCACGGTTCTAGTGCGGATGTTGATAACGGGGGAGGCTGTGCAGGTGGGAGGGCAGAGGATTATATGGGAAATCTCTGTACCTTCCACTCAATTTTGCTGTGAACCTAAAACTGATCTAAAAATGTGTTTAAAAGAAGGGCGGGGCAGCTTTTAAAAGCTTAGCTTGCTTGCTTGCCCTCCCAAAGAAGAGGGCCTGGTACCAACAGGTGATTGGTAAATGCTTGAAAGAGCTCATCTTTTCCAGGGAAGACTGGATGAGACTGGATGACTGGGAAGCTCTGAGGATCCAAGACCCCATTCCAACATCCCTCCCACTAGTACCCAGGTTTCCCTTCCATCAAGCAGCACTCTGAACTGGGGAGAGCCGACAGAACCCCACCACCCTTAAGGAAAGGCACCATATGAGGACAAATGCCCACTTTATTAGCCAACCTGCAGGGGTCCCTAGGGCCCACCCTCATAGATGGACAGCAGAACAAATGAGCTACCTGCTCCCCTGCCCCTGGGACCCTGAGGCAGGTAGGGAAGAGGAGATACCAGGAGTAGGGCGAGAGCCTCACAGAGGCCTCATAAATACAAGGGGGTCCACTGGCCAGGGATGCAAAGGGATTGGGCAGCAGGGGCTCAGGGTGGACAGCCTGTTCAGGGCGGCCCATGTCACGCAGCCTCCTGTGTCTGTGGGGACGCCTGTTCAGCATCCAGGCGGCACAGGGGGCTGTCGTACACCATCTGCAGGTTCACTTTGTGGCCTACCAGCTCACGGATATTGTTGATGCCGTATTTGATCATCGTTGGACTTAAGAGAGAGAGGGAACACTAGGTCAGGTCCTGTTCTACTTTCACCAGAACCTCTGAGAATTCCTGCCTTCCTCAGAGCAGAAGCTCAAGTCCTCTCTGTGGTCCACAGGGCCCTGATCAATTGCCCTATCACTTCCCTACCTTCTCACTTTCTCCCTGCAGCCAGAAAGGCCTCCAAACACAGCATGCTCCTTCTTCCATGAGGACCCCAGAAGAAGAAAGGGTGTGTGCTACTTATTCACAGCAGAGAACACAGCCCAGAGCAGGTGCTCACTGAAGTTTCTCAATGAATGGATAGTGCTGATGGTCTGCGGGTCCCCACACCTGGAGAGTCATCTAGGCAAAGCAGCCAAGTATGCACTAAGTGGTCTGGGTACTCACCGCTCCAGGGAGAGGCCCCAGGCAATGACTGACACATTCTCAGGGAGCCCCATGGGCAGCAGCATTTCAGGACGGAAGAGCCCAGAGTTCCCAACCTCCACCCACTTCTTCAAGCCTGTGAGGGCAGAAAAAGGATTTGGGTGATGTTGGGCTAGGCAGTGAGTTTGGAAAGCAGGGTGTGGGCTTGGCAGTGAGCGAATCTGGGATAAGAGAAGGCAGCCTCAGACATCCCTCCCTACCATAGTACCAAGTCCCACCCTGACCTTGGTGGTAGCTAAACACTTCCATGCTTGGCTCGGTATAGGGGTTGTAGGCCGGCTTGAAACGCAACTGGGTGATACCTGGGTGGAAGACAAGGCTGGTGACCCAAATATCCTCCTGCAGCCTCACCAACACCACCTGCCCTGGCCTGCCTGCTTACCCAGCTTGGTGAAAAACTCCCGAAGGACGCCCATGAGGTGGCCCAGAGTGAGGCCATGGTCAGCCACAACCCCCTCAATCTGGTGGAATTCGGCCAGGTGTGTGGCATCCAGGGTCTCGTTCCGGAACACCCGGTCAATGGAGAAGTATTTGGCTGGCGTAAAGGGTTTCTGGGGGTGACAGGCAGGCCAAGCCAAGTCATGGGTCAGAAGGTAAGTATGAAGTCCCCTCCCTGTCCCCACACTACCCAGGTGTAGACATACCTTCTGGGCCAGACGGTAGAGGGCACGGGCACTGGCTGCTGTGGTGTGTGTACGCAGCAGATTTTTCCGGGCCTCATCCAGCTTCCAATTGTACTTGTACCTTCAGGGGGAAATCCGGAAGTTCATACTGATGTCCTCAGGTCCCCAACTTCCTTCCCCACAACACCCTGAAGTCCTGGTCCTGCCTCACCCTTGTGAGCCATAGCCACCCTGGGAATGGGTCCGCTTGACCCGATGCAC